TACGTCGGAATAACGTTTCATCCACTTACTTACAAATGTCTAACTTTTTCATGTACTTAGCGGCCGCTCCGAGCGACATTTGCAGTCCTTTCAAATGTAAACACAGAAATACGGCTCCGTAACGTGATGTGTACGCAGCAGACATTGCAAAATACGTTATTCTGCGATCAGGGTCAAACGACAAGTGAGACATTCTGTAAAAAGCATCTGAGGGGAAGGGTATCACTAACTGCTCAGGTTAAATTTCCCCTATAACGGTTTCGAGGACAAAGTTCTGCCATACACGCTCTTATCAAACAGACTGTATTAGGTCACATGTTGCTTAGTTTTTAATGTACAGGGTGTTCAATGTTGAACTCCGATTAATATTTTCCAAACGTTCAAATGAAACTTTGCATATGTAGTACATTTTTTATGCCATACAAATTTAAATTAGAGTTAACGATAAACAATCATCACGTGAGTTAAAAGCGCAGTTCGACCACATAAAATTAACTTCATTCAACACCACTGAAAATAGGCAATATGTAGGCAACGCTACATTTAATATGTACCATGGAAATGAATGCACAAAGTGTTGTTAATAGCTATTCTTCACTTACCTTTCTGTTCGGCTTCTCTTCTCTTCTTAGCTTCCTCTCTCTGTTGTTTGATGATCGCCAGCCGCGCAAGATCCGCCCTTGCCTGGTCCGTCTTGCCCTCCGCATGCAGCTTCTGGTAATGGGCCTGTGCCCGTTGCCTCTCTATTTCTTCCCTCTCTCGCCTGGATAGCTGTGGCTTGCTCTCTAGATCTGTTGTGTTCAGAGTAGAGAGTTTCTTTACTTTCTTTTGTACCCTATTTGGATTCTCTATTTCTATTAGATTAGAAACACCTTTTGCTTTCTTCTAAAAAAAATAATTTAGTACTTAATCATTAAAATCGTTTTAATCAGCAGTACGAGAATTAAAGAATTACACTCAATTTTTAGAGCTCGTTCAAAAAATTATGTAACAAAAATGGTTATTCATCATGTAATGAAATTAACTTTGGGTGGCCAAATTAGTATTTGTTTTTATTTGAAATTTGCGAAAATGTGTTTCTTGGACATTGTTGATTGTTTATTACAGATCTTCTGAAAGCTACATAAAATGTGAGTTGTGCGTAGTGTTGTGTGAAATGTCCATGTTAGAATTTTAAAAAATGTTCTTTCAAATACTAGATTTGACCTCACAAAAATAACTTCAAAAATCGTGACCAGCACCATCGAAAAGGGGGAGGGTGAGTAAATAATTATCAATTTTTTTGTTAGACTTACATCTTCTTCGCTACTTTCCTCCTCTGATTCACTGCCAGATTCTTCACTAATTTTCTTATCACCGGTAGCCTCATCATCAGATTCCTCACTGCTGCTAACCCCCTGCTGTTGTCTCCACTTCTTTTTTTGCTCTTCTCTCCTTCGTTCTTCTTCCAGTTCTTCTGGGTTCGTAAATCTGCGGTTGCGACCTTTGTGATTTGTAAATTTTCCTAAAAATTTATTCGTGTGAACATTCATATGTCTAATTGCAAGGTGTTGGCCATGATGTCATCAAACTAAAAAAAATGTTAAAGGAACTTACCTCTAGGCATTATGAATTAAATTACTTAAACTGATTAATACGAACGGCAATTTGATTAAAATTGACGGATTTTAAATACGCAACAAAAATTCCTAAAGATTGACAGTCCACAATTTTTCTGCAATCTTGTACGTATTAGATAGAGAGAGAAAAGCTGTTTTTAAAAAACGGAACGTTCACACTTTCCCGAATGAATAGAATTAACATATAAAGACACTAAAACGAAGTCCCATTGAATTTTACTTTTTATATGCCAATTTCTGAATTCATAATTTTGGAAAACTATTTTTTTTTAGTCATAACTCATAGAGCCACAGAATATGATTATAAATTCTGTGATAGAATAGAAAATAGAACTTAAAGATACCCGTCAACCAGAGATATGGAGTAGGGAGAATGAGCGTCAAGATGCGCAAACTTGTTAATAAAGGAGGTCGCCATTTTGAAGTCTTAGATACGAGGGGGTACTATATTACATTACCAGGTCAGTTCTAAAATTTCAAATTAGAAACGCACATAACTTTACATTAAATTTTGAAATGAAATATGAACTAACAAATACGTACTTTTGAAATTTTCAATTACATATGAATTATTTTTCATAATTTTCTAGGTATATCTGAATATTTATTATATAATAAAAAATTAAATTTTCATATATGCACTTCATAAAAAATATATTAAATACTATATTACTCAAGAACAACGGCTAGAGTTGTATCATAACTGCATAGGATATTATTACCTATCATATGTATAAATCTGCACACACTCCGACATTGTGCTTATCTTTTACATTGAATGATACTTTAATTATGTTATAACTATCTTGTTTCACAGAAGGTTCAACAGAGAATATTAATCACACCAATAATAAT